AGATTCCTTGACTTATGATCTCAATAGATACTGAAGAAGGCAACAAATTGGGGTGATGTAGCAGCCTCTGCAAATTTTTGCCCTTTATTATCATTAACAAATGGCTTGTATACATTGACTTCCTTGTATTATAATTTATACTCTTTTCTTTAAGACCTGTTTGAGCTCCATTATAATTAGATTTTTGAGAAAAATATATTTTGTAAAAGTGATTATTTTTTTTAAGAATGCATGGTTAAAAAAAGGAAAATTTTTTAATATAAGTGTAATATTATTTTATTGGAGAATGATTGATAAAAAAAATGTATTATCAAATTAATAGAGTCCAAACAAGGGTAAAGTACGTGGGAAAGATCTGCCTTGGTACGTTTGCAAAACTCATCGTGTACATGTGCTATTATTTGTTTAACCTACCAGTACTTTTTAGTTTTGACTTTTGACATCTATGTACTTTTGGTAAAATATGATTATAAATTTTAATTGGTAAAATAAATTAAATACAGTGAAATGACAAAAAATATGTTTTTTTTTTTTTTTTTTTATGATTTTGTAAAGATATGGTAAAGACTGTCAAGAATTTTTGATGATTTTGTAAAATAAAACTAAATCAAGAGTTTTATTCTTATTTTATTTTTGTCAATTTTTTTTTTCAATATAGCTTTTTAGTATAAAAACATTATCAAACTAAGTTAACAATCTATTAAGTGCATGTTTGATTTTCATTAATTGGAAAAAAATGAGTTTTGAATAGTATTTTTAGGAGAATGTGGTTAAAAAGTAGGAAAACTATTTTTGATAACGTGTAAAATATTTTATTATGTGAACGTATACTTCAAAATGATTCTGTGACAAATTATAAAATAAATTAATGGTAATCAAACATCTCCTAAATTGTTTTCATATTTACCCATAGTTATTGTTTGAATAGGATTTTTATAAAAATATAATAATCTATTAAATTTTCATTATAGTTTCTAAAATTTATTAATACATGAATTCATCTTTTGATTTAAATGGGAAAAATTCATAGGTCAGGGATTATCTTTCACGAAATCAAAAATCAGGCTCCAAAGTTAAAATTTACAAAACTCAA